ATCTGACCCAACGATGATCTCAAAAAGACCTTCGATGACATCACGAAGGCCTCAATATGACCTCACCGCGAAATTAGTCTGACCTCAAGGTGGCCTCGACACGACTCAACTACGATCTCAAGATCACCCCACGGTTTCACGGTGACCTCCAGAAGTCCCAAGGATGAACTCAAGGTTATGCTTCGCGACGCGACCTCATGGTGACCTTAGTGTGGCCTACAAATATGTATGTCCGATGGCCTCAGTGCTACCCGGAGATGATGCACTGAAATGACCTCACGATGGCCACTCAACGACACCGAGCCGACCTCAACAAGACCCCAGTGTGTCTTCTGACTGCACGATGGCTCAATGCTAACCTCAAGATCACCTGAGTCGTCAAAATCACCTCACCATGACCCGACGGCGGCCCCAATCTGACATGAACATGATGCTCAGATGACCTCAAGGAGAACTCACCCTGACCCACATCTGACCGCACGATGACTCCACGGTGTCACAGTGGCCTTCAAGAAATCCCGAGATGGCTTCAAGATTGTGCTCCCCAAAAATGACTTCGCGATGACGACAACGTGAACAAGCATATCCCCAGAGGCTACACGACTACACAAATATGATCACTGAGGCACCAAGATAATCACACTAGGTCGTCAAGATAACAATACGTATGTCTTGGAGATGGCCTCACCATGGCCAGGCAGGCTACAACACATGATCGCAATGTAATCCCAGGATGACCACACCACGGCTTGAAGCACACCTCATAGTGGCCTCACGATGGCTCCAAGAAGACCCCAAGACGACTTCACGCTGGCTTCAAGATGACCACACTATGGCCCCACGATGAACCCACTGTGGCCCCACTACGACTCCACGATGACCGCACGAGGACTTCAAGATGATCCAACAAGTACTTCAACACGATGTATATCATCCCTCCCCCTTCTCATTAAGCTGCTGCGCCGTCCAGAGCCGCACGTGCAATCTGATCGCTCTTAACTACTGCTGTTCATCGCCGCCTCCCTGATCGCCCCTTCGCACTCCTCCTGCTCCTGTTTATGCGTATGTTCATCCTCGTCTAGCTGCTCATGATCCGATTGCTCCTGCTGCTGTTGCTCGTACTCCTTCTCCTCGCCCAATTCACTCTCTAAATCCTCCTCTTCCTGCTCTTCTTCATTCACTCCTCCTCCTCCTCCTCCTCCTCCTCCACCTCCTCCTCTTCCTCCTCCTCCTCATCATCATCCACCGAGAAGCGACAGAACCGGCTTGCGTCGGGGATTGGTGGTGGTGATGCTGGTGGAAAAGGATCACAGGCGGACGAGCCCCCCCACCAACTCCCACATCTCCGACAACAAAACGACTCAAAAATCGCATCCGTCGCTCCTCGACTACAGCGCTCCTTCGAATGCCCGCTGCCCGAAACACACATGCGAGGTGCGATGGCTCGGGGGCGCGGCCCGGACGCCTCGCATCGCCTCCAGGTTCTGGGCGTCCTGCCGGCGAGGTTGGGGAGGGAGCGAGAGGGCAGCGCAGGGAGCGCTCGCCATCGCTCGGACGTCCATTCCCCGTGTTTTTTTTCGGTTTCCACGCCGCCCGCGCGCCGGGCGCCTCTGGCCGTCTCTTGGCCCCCTTTCCGCCGATGCGGCCGGCGCGGCCAGCGCCTGGGTTCGGAGTGCTCTCGGGGCACAGCTGCGCCTGGTGCAGGCGGGCGATGTGGTCGTCGACGGTGCCAGGTAGCTGGTTCGGCATGGCACTCGAGGCACTCCCCATATATGCCTCTCCACTGTCCATTTCCGCTCCCTCCCTCATATTCAGGTGCCCTCTCCCACTCTCGATGCCGAGCCTACCTGTGGCAAGTATCTGTTCCCTGCCTGGGCTAGGTGTGTTGGTTGCTCACTGCTGTCGGCAAGTACAGAGTGCATGCTGCTGCCGTGGTCAAGTTGAACTTACCGCTGCCACGTTGAAGCGTATGTGCCTCAGAGGCGGCAACCAACCTTTTAACATGTCTCGTTGCGCGTGCACTGTTGCGTCCCAGGTCTGGCCAAATGAGTGTGCCATGGATGTAAAAACTCCTGCGTGATGCGTCTGGATCTCTAGGGCGAGTGCGTTGGCAGCAGAGGCAACGCTGGCGCTGATCGGCTTCGCTTTCGATGGATACATCGCTGCATGTTAGAGGAACAAATGATCAGCCGACACCTTGTGGGTAATCAGGCGTGCGAGATTATCCCCTCCCTTCTTCCCCCCCGAGGATCCCACACCGAGACTTTGACCCCCTCTCCCAGCCCCCACCTCTCAGGGTCCGAGCTTAGTTTGCTCCTGGGCGTGGCCCTCTGGACCCCCGAAAGAGCCCGAGCATCCCTCCGAGGGAGCTCCAAAGGGAGCCCAAGAACGACGCCTGGCCATCTCTCGGACGTCCATGCCATTCCCTGTGTTTTTTTCGGTTTCGTGCGTGGTTTTTTCGCCAAATGATCAAGGATGCTCCTCGATGGCCCTCGCCGAGAAAAAAATGCACACGTCCGAGCGATGCCAGGACACAGCAAGGAACCGACGGGTGGCAGGCCTCAAGATCGCCGGGAAGGTGTCCGAGATGGCCTGAGAAACACAAGATAGACGCGAGCCCCGCAGGAGGTCCACAGCATTCAAGAACCATGCGCTCCTCGAGAAGTTCGGCCCTGCGACCGCCCAAGATGGCTCCGAGTGGGGCCCCGACAAACTCTCAGCGGGCTCTGACGACTCCCAAGAAGCTCCAGGACAGGAAGAAAGAGCTCCAAGCGGCCACTGAGCGGGGATCAATGGGTGGCAGGCCCCAAGATAACTTCAAGCCAGCCCCAAGCGGCCCCAAGATCGCCCCGAGGTGGCCCTGGATGACCCAAGACAGCCAGAAGCCCAGAGCTCGCAAAACCAACAGGATTGTAAGGATTCAGGCTTTCCCGCCGTGTTGCTTCCTATGGGTTCCCAAGCATCGCCAAAGATGATTCCAAGTTGGGGCTGACCGGGCTCCAAGAGCGCTCCTACGCAGAGAGCGCGCCAGGAAAGGCCCCACCGAGCTTCGATAGTGTTGCAGACCAACACAAGTCGGATCCTTGGGTGGCAGGCACCAAGACGCTCTGAAGACAGTCCCAGAATGCCTCAAGAAAGCTCCGAGGTGGCCTAGGATGGTCCAAGACAGCCCTCAAGAGGCCCCCGAGGGGGCTGAAATCGTTCAACAACCAGAAGTTGTTCAATGATTCGGGAGCACTCCTCTTGTCGCATCCTGTGGGTTTCTGAGGCCTGAAGATGGCTCCAGCATCGCCAAAGGTCGCTTCAAGCCGAGCCCGAAGGGCTCGGCAGAGAACGCCGATGAACCCAGGAACGCCCAGGCAGAGCTCCGACAATGCGCCGCACAAGACACACATACGCCAAACAACGAAGAGCACGGGGTATCACGACCCAAAATGGCCCCCCAAACACAATGTGGTTCCGAATGGACCACTGCAACAACAACCCTCCCACCCCTGAAACAACCGCAATGATCCCACCGGTTCATTTCAGAGACTTCCGTGTATCCGGGAGAACCTCCCTCTGCAAATACAAGTGCGTATCCATACGTCCACAGAGGATACACATATATTTACGTAGATCCCCGCAGGTGCGGATAAGAGTGAGGGGGCGGTGGGGACGTGGGCAGCCTGCGAGACTCTGGGCAAGCCCGCCGCCGGCGCCAAAGTTTCACAAATTGTACAAAGAGCCCGTCGCGGGCGCCGATTTGTTCGTTAAACATATGTAGGTAGGTCGCGGTTGGGTCGCATGTGAGTCGAAAATGGGTCGCGGCTGGGTCGCGGGTGGGGCGCGAGAGGGTCGCGGGGCGGGTCGCGGGCGGGTCGCGGGTGGGTCGCGGGTGGGTCGCGGGTTGGGTCGCGGGTGGGTCGCGGGGCGGGTCGCGGCTGGGTCGCGGGTGGGTCGCGGGTGGGTCGCGGGGTGGGTCGCGGGTGGGTCGCGGGCGGGTCGCGACTGGGTCGCGGGGTGGGTCGCGGGTGGGTCGCGGGGTGGGTCGCCGTTGGGTCGCGTGGTGGTCTCTGGTGGGTCGCGGGTTTGGTCGCGGGTGGGTCGCGGGGTGGGTCGCGGGGTGAGTTGCGGGGTGGGTCGCGGGGTGGGTCGCGGGGTGGGTCGCGGGTGGGTCGCGGGTGGGACGACGATCACAAACAAACAAACAAACAAACAAACAAACAAACAAACAAACAACAACAACAATCATTGTAATACTGTTCGCCCTGACATGCTCGAGTGTCCAATAACGCGTGCTTCCCAAACCCTCGATACCCGCCCTCTTCGTCTTCGATCGAACCCCTTTTTGGGGGTATACCTTTCTTCCCTGCAGACCGGGCCCCGGCAAGCGGCGGGGCGGCCGCGGACCGTCGGCCTGGCCGGCGGCAGCGCTGATCGGCGGGGCGGCCGCGGACCGTCGACCCGACCCCAAGAGGGACGGACAGGGGACCGACCAGGACGACGACGACGTCGACGACGACGGCGACGACGACGACGGCGGCGACGAGCGAAAGCGAGAGCGAGAGAGAACGACAGCAGGGCCACACGGACACGAAGTAGGCCACGAAGGGCGACAGCGGGGACACGAAGGGAATGCGTATGGGTCCACGAGGAGCGCGAACGAGCGGGGGCCACGAAGGGTAGATAATGCGAGGCCACAGAAGGCAACGATGGGGTCACTGAGGGTAGCAACTGGGCCACGTAGGACAGTGAGGGGGCCACAAACGGCGACAGCGGGGCCACGAAGGGCTGCGACGGGGCCACGAAGGGCAGCGAGGGGGCCGCGAAGGGCTGCAACGGGGCCACGAAACAAAGCGAGGGGGCCACGAAGGGCTGCAACGGAGCCACGAAGGGCAGCGAGGAGGCCATGAGGGGCTGTAACGGCGCCGCGAAGGGCAGCGAGGGGGCCACGAAGGGCTGCAACGGGGCCACGAAAAAAAGCGAGGGGGGCCAAGAAGGGCTGCAACGGGGCCACGAAGGGCAGCGAGATCCAGATTCCTAGGTAATCTGTGAGTGAGTCCTAAGCGTGAGCGCGACTCCTGGGTGCCTGGGTGTCGGGAGCGCGGCGCTTGAGTAAATTGCAAGAAACTCCAACGCAAGGGCGCTATTCGTCAGTAATTTGCGAGCAAGTCTCCAGCGAGAGCGCGACTCAAGAGCGCCGGGGGAGCGAACCCTGAATAAATTGCAAGGAAGTCCCAAGCGAGAGCGCGATTCCTGAATAAAATGCGAGGAAGTCTCGGGCGGGAGCGGGGGTCCTGGCTAAATTGTGAGGAAGTCTCAGGCGGGAGCCGTTGTTGTTGTAACCCGGGGGGCCAGGGGCACAGTTTGAGCACTAAGACTTTCCCTGTCCAAAAACAGGGTGCGAGCGTCGAGGGGCACACTTTGAGAGAGAAAAATAGTATGCACCAATGGGAGGGGATCAACAATACGTATTCTTCAGAAATGAGAGTTCAATGCAACAACGCAACAAACATAATCCTCACCACGGATCCCCACTTCAGCCACGCACCAAAAGACAATGAATGGCCGTTCGGCCCCCTCACTCTGACAATGGTATCTGTACAATGGCTTCGTAGAATTGAGCGCTCGGTTCCGCGACGACCAATCGTGGCGTTGTCCTCTCACCCATTCCACATTCCACCACAACACAATCCAAACAGAGAATGCGTAAACAAAATTAGCGAAACGATTCGATAACAATCCAAACGGGAATCCAATACTCGCCTGGCTGCCTATGTAAAATTTACCTCCCTCGCCTCCTCCAGGTAAGCCTGCTCCAACTCCATCCATCTGGTATGCCATCTCCACCTACCTCCATCGTACGCGAGACTGAGGGGGGGTCCTTCCCGACGTTGGCCAACTGCTCTTTCTGCTCCGCTAGCGTTTTGGTGAGCTCCTCCATGATCAAAGGGCGGCGATGAGAACTAGGCCGATGGCGATGGGGGGAGAGGGATGTCAAAAGGAGGAGGAGGAGGAGGAAGACGAGGAGGAAGAGAAGGAGGAGGACAACGAAAACGAGGAGAAAGAGAAGGGAGAGAACAACGAAAACGAGAAGAAGGAGGACAACGAAAACGAGGGTGTGAAAAGAAGGAGGAGGAAGACGAGGAGGAAGAGAAGGAGGAGGACAAAGAAAACGAGGAGAGAAAGGCGCCATGGCCCGAGATGTGGCGGGGCCCACTGGGTCATGGTCGGCGCAGCGACCCGCCCGCATACCCTCACTTGCCCGAACGGGCCCTCGAGCTGCCGAACGGGTGGCCTTGTGGCCCATTTCACGACTGGCGACGACGTCATTCTCTGAAGGGGCCCCAGGACACACAAAGAAATACACACAAATAACAATATCCCCCATATTTGCCCATACTTTCTGGGTTTCGGTCTTCCCCCCACTTCCCATATTTCCCCGTTTTTTTTTGAGGGGGGGGATCGACGATTAATTGTGTCTGTGTTTTTTTTCCCTCCTGAGTCATTTTCGCTCACACAGACTGCACCAACGGCCGCGGCCAAAGAGTCGCAACCGCAGAGACGAGTGCCGACCCCTACGGCTACACGAAAGCAGCAAAACCACAACGAGAACACGTCGTCTTTCAATCCGCAGAGTGCCCTGTGGGGAGGACCTGGCGAGCCCTGATGACGGCGGGGATGACGGCGGGGCCATCGCCTGCAAGGGCCTCAACCGTGCGACCACCAGGAGGGGCATAAGAGCGGCGGCGGCGGCCAGCAAACGCCGAACGCGCAAGGAATTTGGCAACCGCATCAGCACTAGGCGGCCACATGCGTCCCGCGCGGCCGCGCCCACACTTGGATCCTGTCGCACGGCTCGGGGGATTCGTGTGAAAACCGCTCGGCCTGGTGGCGCCGCACGCCGCCGCCTGCCACCTTCCATGGCGGGGTAACCATGCATTCGTCGTCACACAGCGGCCGATATCCGTGATGACCCGTCAGGAACTTGCTCGAAGTACTCCAGATTTCGTAATAAAGGGAGGGGGGTCTCGTTTCGGGGGGTGGGTCTCTTCCAGGCTATCTTGGGGGGCCTGGGGGGGTCTGGGGACGATGTTTTGGAGGGTTCTCCCGCGGGGGGGGGGGGTCTGAAATGGCTTGTCTTGGAGGGTCCAGACCCCCTCCCTTTTATTACGAAATCTGGAGTACGCAAAGTACGCCTGGCCTGCGGCGGCCGCCGCCTCTCGCGGCGATGCCGGGAGGGCGAGCGCGACCCGGCGCACTCGGGCATCGCGCGGGCGCCCGACCAGTCGGGCCGCGGGCGGCACGTGCAAAATATGGAAGGCGCGCCCTCGTCCCAGCGAGGAGGCACGGAACACACATGGCAGCCGAGGAGGAGGAGGAGGAGGAGGAGGAGGAGGAGGACGAGGAGGAGGAGGAGGAGGAGGAAAAAGAGGACAAGGTGGAGGAGGAGGAGGAGGAAGAGGAGGAGGAGGAGGAAACGGGACGGGTGCGGGGAGAAGGAGAGGGACGACGCTGGGAAACACAACCGCGTCAGTCAGGCTCCCAAGCGCGCCGCGAGGCGCCGCCGTAACGCCTCGCGCCATTGGGGCTCCGCGCCGCTACTCTGAACTGGCGGCGCCAGCGGCAAGGCGGCGGCGCAGGGGCTCAACCGTTTTACGGCATGCTTGCCAGCCTCGGCCAAGCCGGCGCTCGAGGGGCACTCTGAGGCCCCTTTGGGCTCCTGCTGGCTCTAAAATGGGGCCCTAAAGAGCCCCTCTGGGGCCCTGTTTCTTGACCCCCCAGTCGGGTCACCCCCCATTACCACCCGACCGAATCAATCCCTCGATCGTCGAGCCAGGTTTCCCGACGAGCCAACATACCAAAGTCTCCGCCAGAACCCTGGCGGCTCTCGCAGGCCCCCCAGCGTGTCCCCGGCGGCTCAGAGGCGAGAGCCCTGTCTGGGAACAAAAACTGCGGGAACGTCTGCACCACTGCCATCCCGCCGTCATCCGCATCAGCACCAACAACTCAAGGGGCCCAAGGACACACAAATAAATACACACCAATAACCAGATTCCCCCTATTTTCCCATAGTTTCTGGGTTTTTCTCTTCCCCCCCCCTTCCCATAGTTTCCCAGATTTTCTGGGGAATCGACGATTATTTGTGTCTGTGTGTTTTTTTCCCCTCCTGAACAACGGCCGTCGGTGAGCACGGCTGGCCCAAAGACACCCCTGGCGGACCAGCCGGCGCGCTGCGCCAGAACGGCTTTGGGCACGGGCTGCTTCCGGCGCGAACACCGAAAACAGACGCTTCACCATCCCCCTCCTCACTCACTCACTTACTCATGGCGGTCCTGGGTTCTCCTGTAGCCCTGCACACCTTTCCTGCCCCTCCCACCCGGCAAGGACCTGGGTGGGAGGGGGGACTCATTGGGGAAAAGGTGAGAAAAAAATGCGAGGCGAAGGTGAGAAGGGGTGAGGGGGGTGGCGCCTGATGTAAAGCAGCGCAGACGGAGGGCCAAACCACCCTGAGGACGAGAAGACAAATCCCCAACAGAGGGAACGGAACAGCGAGGCAAGAAAAGGGGTACCCCCCTCATCCTGCTCCTCTGCTGCTGCTGCTGTTCCTCCTGCTGCTGCTCCTGATCCTCCTGCTCGTGCAGTGGCTCCCACGCTTGCTCCACCCGCGCGGTTACTCCTGCGCCTGCTCCTCCAGAGCTTCCAGGCCCCTCATCCAATGTTCCAGACCTTGCCCTCGCCTTCGTCTCAACCTCCGCCTCATCCTCATCCCCTCCTCATCCTTATTTCACCTCGCCATTATCCTAACCCTCCTTTTCCGCCCCCCCTTCTCCTCTTTCCCCTCCTCCTCATCCTCCTCCCCATAAGCATCATCCCCACCTCCTAAACTCTCTCCTTGTGCTTCAGTTCCTCATCCTCATCCTGTCCACCTCGTTCGTCTTGCACGTCTGGCTCTCATTGCGAATCGGGTACATGTTGCTCCTCTTCCTCGCGTTCATCTGACTCCTCATCCTCCTCGTCGTCATCTCCGGCCCCTCCAAATCCTTCTTATCTTCACCTGTCTCTCAGTGTTCCTCCAATCATTGATCATCTTCCTCATCCTGTTGTTCCTCCTGTTCTTCTTCCTCCTCCTCCTCCTCCGCCTCCTCCTCCTCCTCCTCTTCCTCCTCCTCCGCTGTCCTCGACTCGTCCCTCCCATCCTTCCCTGTTTCCTCGCCTCGTCCCCCCTCCTCCTGCCTTCTGCCTCCCCCTTGGAGGAAGGAGGCGAACACCGACATCCGTCGAGGCAAACGGGCCGAGATCCTTCTTGTCCTTCTCCAAGACTTTGCACCTGTCCCGGTACTCGTTCAAGCTCTTCTGGAGGGCTTCTCGGACCTGACAGCCGCGTCCGCTGCAGGCAGCGCAAGGCGGGCATCCGAACCCACTTCTCCTCCTCCATCTCCTCCTCCTCCTCCTTCTCCTCCTCTTCGTCCCCCTTCTCCCAATACGCCCCCTCCCAGTCTCAGGTTCGATATGAGCCTCAAAGTCTGTGAAATGTGTATATATCACTAGATGTACACACCTCTACCTCTCCTCATCTCTCTATCTCTCAATGTCCCTCTCTCACTCTGTGTCTGTTTGTCTCTCTCACTCTCGCGCTTCTCCTTCTCCATGAACGTATTTAAATGATATCCGCGTGAATATTATCATACATACGTGTAACATCATCGTGCTGTGTATTTATCTGTGTATCCTGATAGGAATCAGGAGAAAAAAAAGGTCGCGATATCAAGCTTTACATGAGCTCCTGGACAGCACCTCCAGTGATGGGTTGTGGTCGCATGTCCATCCTCACATGTATGTCTCCTCATGTTCCTCCTCCTCCTCCTTCACCTTCGCCTCCTGCTCCTTCTCCTCTACTCATGTTCTGTCCTTCCCCTCACCCGACCGAAAAATCATCCTGCTCCTCCTCGCTGTCATGCTGCCGCCTGCACCTCCTGCGCCGCTATCCCATCAACCTGGTGAATATGTTTCAGAG